AAACTTACCAGCTCCCCAACTTCCTAGTGCTCCATCCATAAATAGTTTTACACTCCTTACTGTCAATCTCCCTTCACCCAATCTTTCGATTCGTTCAACTTTCTCACCACAATAAGAGTTCCGTTGACAATCGATCATTGCGTAGTTCCTAATGTTGAATTCTTCTGGGTCCGTTTTAATTATTCTAAAAAATTAATAGGAAAAAGATTAGATTTCTTTTTTGGATATAAATTTATTAATAACGCCATTCTTTTTTGATGACCGACTTTTTGTAAAGATCAAGAGTATCCGGGGTGACGCCAGCGTCATGAATTCCTGTAAGTCCATGAAAATTCATGCGAGATATGGCTGTTCGGATCCGCATTAATGACTGCTCTTCAGTTATTAACGGTTTTTTCTCAACTAAGGTATTATTAAAAATTACATTGTTTAATAATTATTATTCATATGAAAGATTGTATCAAAAGCTAATAAAGAAATACTTACAAACTAATTCCATTGCATTATCTATGAAAATCCCCGTTAACTGGTTCGTTCCTTTTTCCTTGCCAATCTCTCCGCCATCAACCTTATCCGGGATTTTGTCTTTTCTCAAGATATTTAATATTCTCTCGTTTACCCAGAGTGCATGTCCATCAATACGTGTTAGCGCAATTGGATACTGAGCAAGTTCTGGATCCGAATCTAGATCTTTCTGGGAAATCATGAGGAAATAATTCAAAAATTAAAATGCAAAGTACGACGAAAAGAACAAAAGAATGGATTGATAATTAAGGAATGCCTACAAAAGTAGGAAATAATTTTGATGACCACTGCGTTTGATCCCATCCCCAACCTGTAATCCATTCGTTTTTATCACGATGCATGGAGATATAGGCACGAATTCTTTCGCGCACCTCTGTTTTTTGACAAGAGACAATTATTACTACAAATTTCTCTGAACACGATGTGAATTCTTCAACAAAATCTCTGATAGTAATTTACCGTCGATGGATTTTGTACCACTAAGGTCTACCGAATTCATCATGTCTCCTAGTTGCATTAAATGCTATTCAAAGAAGATCCAGCATGTTAAAATAAAGATCTTTTCTAGTTTCGAATTTTCTTTCGAAAATAATCATGAGGAAGTACCGCATGAGCATCAATCAATCCTGGCACAACAGTTCGTCCTTGTAAATCGATGTACTATCCAGGAAAAAAAGTCATTTCTGTAAATATTAGGAAACTCGATAAAATTTATCTCCCAATTTAACACCCATAATTGATTACTTGAACGTTTGTCCATTTTTTCATTAAATCAAATTTAGTACCGATATCTACGAATTTTCCATCCAACACTACGAACGACTCAATTTTCGGATATTGCTCGTCTGCCGTGTAAATGTTTGCATTGTAGATTATGTATCCTTCTGACCCTTTACTGGAATATGAGCGCAGATTCATTTTTTTTATAAGAATGAGTTACGAATTGATCATAAATATGTACATACGTACACACGTACCTTTTATGTAATACAAGGAAAGTACAAATTACTAAGATAATCGCAAGAATTCTCAAGATATTACAAATTCTTTGAGCATTGTACTCTGATTCTTGGTCGTAAGGGAGTCTCCTCTTTTGCTTTGTAAATAGGAAAAAGGAAATGAATTAGATAAGAATAATCAATTCTTTCATTTTTTTTTTTTGATATAACGGCAAAAGTTCAAGGATATACAATTTGTAGAGTTTTCGGGTTTTCATAATTCAATTCACTCCTTTTTCGAGCATGTCTAGGCATAACATCATTTATCAATACAATAAAATGAAAACATACTCTTGAGTTGAGAAGTGGGTCATATTCATCTGGATAGGAGTTCCGTTGAGTTCCAGACATTATTAATTGACAAATAAATAAATAGATGAATTTTTAAATTCGAGTAATGCCCCTGAAAACGTTTGTGTCCTAGAATGTTTCAATAAAAATTTCTCATTTCGATCTCCATCGATGAATACGTATTTTAGATATAGTACGGTTGTATGAATGTAAATCAAGATAAAGTGCAAACATGAGATTTAATGCGTATAT